AGCCCCAGATAACCCCGCCCTCGCCGCCCCGCCCCGGATAACCCCGCCCACGCTGCCCCGCCCCAGATAACCCCACCCACGCCGCCCCGGATAACCCGGCCCCCGCTGCCCCGCCTCAGATAACCCCGCCTCCGCTGCCCCACCTCGGATACCTCTGCTCCGCTCGCCCCACCCCCTGATAACCCCGCTCCACCCGCAGATAACGCTAGACCCGCCCGCCCGGCGCCGGAGTTGACATTCCCGGGAGTTGCCTCAAAGCGGAAGTGGGCGAGACCGGGGCCTCTTGTTCTGTCGACCGGTAGGGTCAATTCCGGTCCGGACCCCACGGCAGTCGCGCTGACGTGGCTCCCGGAAGTGGGCTGGCGCAGGGCCGCCATGTTGCAGCAGGTGAGGGAAGCGGGGAGAGGCGGTGGTGCTTGGGGGCCCTGCAGGGTTTGTGGGGCTGGAGGTGAGCGTCCTGCGGCGGGTTTGCTCACGTCCTCGCCCGGTATCCGAACAGGAGGAAGAGCGGGGTGGGCGGGCGGGTCTGGAGGGCCATGTGCTTGCTGCTGTCCAGGGAGGGTGCCTGGCGGTCCGAGGCCTTTGATGGAGGCGTGACCCAGGCGGCGCCGAGCGGGGCAGCTCGCGGCTGCGTAGAAGCCCACTGTTAGCAGACGCCGAGCGCTTGCTGGGCCCTTCCCTGGGGTGCAGAAACGCTCCGGGGGGAGGTTGCCGGTGGTCTCTTTCCTCTGCCGTTAGAGCGTGGGCAGGAGTGAGGGGATCTCTTAGTTCCCTCCTAGCCTGACCTTCAGGGAATACCTGCGATCTTTTAGGTAGAGGCGACACTGCCAGAGCCTTGCTTTAAAGTCAAGTAGCTGATACCCAGCGTTGATGATTATCATGTTTTTGCCCTTAGAGTTAATTATTATAGGCCATAGTTTTACAGCTAGAGATTAGTAAGATTAATTTGAGAATCTCTTTTTCTTTTAGAACTAATTCCTTTTTATAGTCACTTAGATGATCTTAAGTATTTTTTCTTTAGGTTTACATGTAATTTGAGGGATTATTATGGCCCGGGGATGGGGCTGTGAACAGACAGGTTTCTTGCCTTAAATCGTCAGTTTGGGGGTGTGGGTTTTAGGAGTTGGGGGCAGTAAAGGAGGTTGGTGACCTGAAAAATTACATAACTAAAGGTGTTTTCAGACAATAACAGCAAGACAGTGCGATGAAATAGCAAGTATTTGTGATCAGAAAAGATCACATATGAAGACATGACTTGAGTGTTGAAAATCCGTTTAGTTCTCTGAAGGGCATCCTGGCTACAGTGAGGCTGGAGAAGAAACAAAACTGTGCTGACTGTTCCCACTTTATAAGTTTGTGACCATGAACCTCCAGGGAGCCCTTAGTGCTTTAATCATTTGTACATTTCCATAGACCCCTCACTCTCCTACCTTCCTAAGCAACTTACAACTTTTCTCAAACATTTATTCCCTTATTCTCTTAGCTGATAACCTTGGTGCTTGTTTCACTGAGACGTGGAGGTCATCAGAATTTTCACCCCACCTGCCTGTCTATATTCATCTTTACCCATAATCTCCTGTGTATTCCTTTATTATAATTGAACTGTCTTTCCCCATCCTTAGGCCATCCTCTGTACTTGTGCATGGGTTTCCATCCCTTTCTGCCTGCTGGAAGGCATCGTTCAGCAGTTTTCTTTCCTGTATGGACAATCCTTTTTTTCCTCCTTTTTTAGAGCTGTTGACTCTAAAACAGCATGTTTATCAGTGTATAAACATGCTTTAATTTCTCCTATCTTAAAAAATGAAACTTCACATGCCCTTTCATCCCAGTCTTTGTTCCTTTAAAGACTTGCCTGTATTTGTCTCCTAATTCTTCTCTCATATTCATTCTAGTTAGCCTTTCTCCTCCTCTCCTGCTACACTGAAATGCTCTTATTGAGGTCACTGATGACCAGCTAAAAATACAGTAGTCACTTGGTTTTCCTGTTGTGAGCCTCACACTCTCCAGGCCTGCCTCCCCTGCCGTGTATTTCCTTTTCAGTTTCCACTGCCTAGTTCTTTTCGTTTTTCTGTCTTTTGAAAATCGGAGTGCCCAGAGTCTCCTTTAGTATCTTTATCCTTTTAGCTGTTCAGGACAAAAACTTTGGCATCTTCTTGAGTCCTTTTTCCTTCCCACTTCAGCCTATCAGCAAGTCCTGTCATCTTTCTACCTTAGAATGTATTCGGAGCCTGTCTGCTTTTCACCTCCACTGACTACATCTACCCTGGGTCAATTCATTACTCTTGCCTCCATTATTGAAGTGGTCTCTTAACCAGTCTCCTAGCTTTGTGCTGCTTTTTTTCTCCCTTCCCTCCACCCTCCAGAATCTTATTATTACAGTAGCCGGAATTTTCTTTTTAGTGGGTGAGTCGGAACATGTCAGTCAGATGCTCCAAATTAGGCTCTCCCTCTGAGTTTTTTTTTTTTTTGAAGTTCACATACTAACATCTTAAATTATCCAAATTCAAGCTTTTGATTTTGCTCTAAAATCTTGTCCATGGTCTTCCCCACTTCGTGCAACTTGGAGAGTGCAATGCTGTTTGTCTTTTTTTCTTTTTTGGGTGTGTATGTGCACTCAAACATCATTGCCTAGCACATAGTGAGCAGTGTGTTTACTGAATGAAAAAGAAGAAGCCAGTCTTTCAAAGAGCAGGTCAGAGGAGGACTCTGGGCAGTATGAACTGTGCAGAAGGACCTGATGGGGTACAAGTTTGACATGTTTACGGAACTTAAGGGAAGGCCTGTCTGGTAGGAGCTAAGTTACGGTATAAGTTTCCTATTTCTGCAAATTGTCATAAATTTAGTGGCTTAAAACAAGTTTATTATTTTACAGTACTGGTGGTCAGAAGTCCAGAATGAGTTGCCAGGAGCTAAAAGTCAAGGTGTGGAAAAGGTGTTCCTTTTGGAGGTGCTGGGGAGAATCTTATTTCCTCACCATTTCCAGCTACTAGAGCAGTGTTCTCCAACCTTTTTGTCTCATTGTACACTTGAACCTGTAGTTAAGCTTCTGGGACACTTAAATTGTGTTGATCAAAACAGAGTGAAAAATAGAATATACTTAATTGTGCTTTGAACTTCTTTCAAAAATAATTAATGATCTTTAAAATTTTTCATAGCACAGCAATTGAAAATCACTGTCCTAGAGGTCAGTGGTCCCTCCCTCCCTCCTCACAGACGTTAGTATAACACGTCCAGATCTCTCATCTCTATTTTCCATGTTTTATTGCCTTCTCTTACCCTGACCCCCTTTCTCCCTCTTATAAGCATAGTTGTGATTGCATCAACAACCTGCATCAGACCCACCTGGATAATTGAGGATAATCCCCACACCTGAAGGTCCTCAATTTAATGACATCTGTAGAAGTCCTTATTGTCAAGTATAATAAATTTACATACTCACAGATTCTAGGACTTAGAACCTAGACATCTTTGGCAGAGGGAAAAGAAGGCCTTATACAGCCTAGTGCAGTTAATGAAGGTAAAGTGGCCTGAAATAAGGTCTTAGAGGTGGGCAGGGGCCAGATAGATCATAATAGGTCAAGATAAGGAGTCTTTATTTAAAATGGTGCAGGTTTTAAAGCAGGGGAATGATCTGAAGTGTAAAGCTCTCCCTGGCTACAGGATGGAGCTTAGTGAAGCCAATTCAGGGCAGAAGGCCTTACCTCTTTATTCATAACATATGGTGGATTTTGGCTGCATGTTATGAGCATTTTGGGAGCTTTAAAAAATCTAAATCCCTGTATCGTACTTTGGAGCAATTACATCAGATCCTTAGGGTGAGACACAGATACCAGCTTTAAAAGAAAAAGGAGCAAGCATTCTCCTCTGCTAGACACTAGGACTTTTTACAGTACAGACAGTCCTTGTCATAGTTTAGATGGAGGTAGGAAGGGGCAGACTTACAATAAGAATACCCTGAGATAATTGTTCAAATGGAGATTTGTCCAAGTGCCATGGGAAGAAGGGGATTTCAGAGAAAGTTTCTTATCTATTTCAGTATTTGAGCTGAAACTTGAAGGTTGCTTTGGTATTTGCCTGATGGTGAGGTAGGTAGGAGATGGGAATAGGAAAAGCTTTCTGCGTAGACAAAACATGTGAAAAGCAGAAAGATGGCAGAGACAATAGTGGTGTTCTCAGAGACCGTGTCTGAGGGATTTGCACGGTGCCCTGGAGGGAGTGCTGTGAAGGTGTTCAGTCTTACCTTGTGCATGTAGAGGTGCCACTGAAAGGTTTGAGCCGAGGAGTGACATGGTATGATTTCCACACTGGAAGGCTCGCTCTAGGTGATGCGGAGGAGAGGTGGGAGGAGAGCGTGGAGACACTGGGATGAAGGCAAGGAGGCAGCGAGTGGCACCAGGGGAGGTGGTAGGAGAGCGTGGAGACACTGGAGATAAAGTCAAGGAGGCATCGAGTGGCACCAGGGGAGGTGGGAGGAGAGCGTAGAGACACTGGAGATAAAGTCAAGGAGGCAGCGAGTGGCACCAGGGGAGGCACAGGGCAGGCTCCAGGTGGGTGAGGTAGTGGGGGATTTGCAGTGACTTGAGGTGTGAACAGCTCTTTGGAGCCCAAGGTGGGGAAAGGAAGGGAAGGTATGGGAAGGCAGAAGATCGAAGGGGAGATTTAGGACCAGGGTTTGAAAATCTTTTTTTGAAAAAAAATCTTTTTTGCCCAGTAAGTGACATTTGAAGAAATTTATATGCTGATCAGAAAGATCTAATAATCTTGAAGATAGAAAAAACTGGAATAATGTAAGTAAAGTGAAAAACAGTGGAACAAACCCCCTGAGGAGGTATGAAAAGGATAGGAAGACAAAGTAGTGAGGAGCAGTGTGACATGGGGATGCAGTCTGCTGATCTGTGAAGGAGCCGGAGCATCAGGTTTGTCCCGGACAGCTTCAGCTTTCTCTGCGACTCGGGCGAGAGCCATGAGCATAGCTCTAAGTTTACAGGACTCACCGTGCTCAGCAGTCTTGGGCCCGGAGTGGAGCAGATTGTTGGATCACCACATGAGGCTTCTGTGGGATGGTTGGGATGGGGGTGGAGGATCTGCACATGCCCTTCCCTAGGTTGTGAATTGCTTTGACCACGTCCTAACTTGACCTTCTCTTTTGAGGAGTGTGTGGCCTTGTGTGTAGTGGCTGTATAAATGTTGAATTTGCATTTTGCTTCATGGATATTTAATTTGTCTACTAGGACAGTAATGATGACACTGAAGATGTTTCACTGTTTGATGCAGAAGAGGAGACAACTAATAGACCAAAAAAATCCAAAATCAGGTATGAGGATAACTTGCTCAGAGTTGTGCTGGTGTCAGGGCCGTTCTGTTCATAGCTACCAGCCAGGGGGAGTCAAGGCAGAGTGGTTAGAATGTGCTTGTCAATATACATTGCTACTTTGATATTTAATATGAGGCAAATACAACATTTCAGATGTTTGGGGGACCAATTGTCATACAGAATTTTACTTAATGTAGAGTTTTTAAATCAGCAAATCCCATTGTTTGAACACCTATGTTTTTAATTCCTTGCTATTCTTTTCTAAGACTGTGTCATTTCATTATAGCTTCTGTAGATACATTACATTTTGATTTATTGTGCAAATTTCAGAATTCTTTCATATAAAAAATAAGAAACTATTAAGCCAAACACATATCTAAATTTAGTTCTTTATAGAGAAATTCACTTAATGAAATCAAATTCTACTTGAACCTTGAAAACATGCTAAGTGAAGGACGCCAGTCCCAAAGGACCACATACTGTATGGTTTTATTTACATGAAGTGTCAGCAACAGGCAAATCTGTAGAGATAGAAAATAAATAATGGTTACCTAGGGCTGACGGAGTTGGGGGTAAATGGGCAGTGATGGCCAGTGGGCATAGGGTTTCTTTTGGGGGTGATGAAAAGTTGGAAAATTGAGTGTGGTGGTGATGGTACAACTCTGTGAATATACTAAAAACCATCAAATTATATACTTTTAAGTAGGTGAATTATTCAGTGTGTCTTATATCTCAGTAAAGCTGTTAAAAAGCAAAAGCTAAAAACCTTGATCTCATAGTGACTTTATCTTAATCCTGAAGCAATTTCTGAGGGCCTAGAAATTCTTTTGGTAAGGTTCAAAACTAGGTTTCAAATCCTAAGACTATAGTTTCCTTACTTCTCCAAACTAGGAGATTTTTGTGAAGATTTGTGCTCAATGAAGGGTTAAAGTCATGTTTACATGTCATGTTTTTTGTGATAACGGGGCCTTATCAAACTCTGGGACTTAAAAAGGAGGTAGGGGGTGTGCTTCCTCCTGGAGTCGTCGTCTGTTGTCAGAACTCTGGACACTTGTGCTGTAGCTAAAACATCTTCCATGTACCTCTTCTAGTGCTTAGAGGAAAATGTAATTGCATTTCTTTTGTGTTTTGGTTTTCAGACATCCGGTGGCATCGTTTTTCCACTTGTTCTTTCGCGTCAGTGCCATCATTGTCTATCTTCTCTGTGAACTGCTCAGCAGCAGCTTTATTGCCTGTATGGTAACAATTATCTTGCTGTTGTCATGTGACTTTTGGGCAGTGAAGGTAGGTTTGACTGTTGTTATTTTAAAACTGTATTTTATATGAGAGTGAATGACATAAAAACAGCAAAAATTGTGAGGCCTAGCATTTTGCATTGGTGTTAGTTTATCGTTTTTCTTATTTCAGGCCCCATCTATGTTGAAGTGCTGCATATCTGAGATATACACGTGCAGTGTGGTACTTCCCTGTGACACTTTATATGTGCCACTTACTTCAGGTCACCTGTAGGTTTTGATATTACTGAGTTTGCTGTGCTGTATGTCAACCTACAGCAGCTTTAAAATAAGTAAACAAGCAACGTGACTAGCAGCCACGGACCCTACATAGTGCTTGTAGATCGTAACACCGGTTTTGTTTCCGCGTCATCTCTGGGTGTGCTGTGCATATTCTAGATGAGGCGCCAGTGTAGTTTGTCCACAGATAGTTTAAAAGTACCCACCTTTGTCCAGGCTGGTGTGGGAGCTGCAGTGTTTCTCAACCAGAGGCAAGTTTTACCCTATGGGACATTTGGGGTGATGGAAGACAGGTTTTTTTTTGGTTTTTACAACTGGGGATGGGTAGAGGCCAGGTATGCCACTAAACATCTGAAGATGCACAGCACATCCTCCCCCACCCCCACCCCACTCCCACCAAAGAATTATCTGGCTCAAAATGTTGATTGTGCCAAAGTTGAGGAACCCTGCTATAGGGGATAGAAAGTAGTATAAGGAAAGGTTTCAAAGTCAAAGGCAGTGATGGGTAGATGGAGGGATGGAGAGATCAGTTCTACTGACAGATGACTCTGTAATAAAGTAGTAAATGTAGATGCTATTCTAGGTGGTAGGTATTTGGGTATTCACTTTAAGATTTAACTTTCATCATAAAATGATGGGGAAGAAAAATCAAAGACTAATTTTGGAATTTCAGAGACATGTATACTGATTTCAAAGACCAATAAGATACTGCACATCTATTCATACTCACCAACCCAGCCATTCTTAGATCTTTTAATTTGTACAGATACCAGAAGTGGTTGGCTTGGTGATGGCCAGTTTCCATAGGCCGCATATTGTTGAGAATGAAGATTGCAAAAGTCTGTTTTCTTTAGGCTGTCTTTTGTTCATTCTTCTTTGTCTTGTATTTCTTTGAACTTCTTCTGTTTATGCTCTAGTGTTTACTATATCCGGGTCACAATTTTGTTTTGATGAATATTTCTTTCTGTTGTTCATACAGTTTCTAGTTTAGCCAAACAGAACACTGCTGTCAGTCACGTCTCCTGGTACTTTTCAAACTCATTTAGTTAAATCCTTCTGGGTAACAGGTTTTAAAAAACGTGACCAAAATAGTGTATGTTCTGATACTTTTTTTTTAAACAAGAGCTTAAGAAAGGTCACCCTGTTATCCTTGACAAAATTACTTATACACGTAGATACTCAAACACTTGAGGTACGAAGCAAAATTAAGAAGTCCAGAATGGGGAAACTGTTAAATGGACTTGGAAAAGAGGGTAGGTAGTGTTCTGAAACTAGTTAAAGCAGAGATGTGTCATAATTATTGTAAATCTCAATGTAGTTGTCAAAAAAGATCTAATTATTTAAAAAATCTTTATGTAAACTTCTTCTTGACATTAATGTAGACCAAGAGATGTAGAGAAGGGAGGGTAGTTTCAAAAGTATATTTAAATGGTAGAGTTTATATGGGGATTGTGGTTTTTTTTTTATTCTGACAGTAAAAAAATGATTAAAAGATGGTTTTAAAAAATGTAATAGCAATTATTAGTAAAATCTAAAGGAAATTGTGTATCTTCTGCAACGTTGGGGAAGACAGGAGTGCCTAAGACAGTTCACATAGCAAAGGAAGGAAAGTACTGCAAGTCAGAGTGTTGAGGAGGGTTGAGCCCCACGAAACCCATGCACAAGGTGATGGAAGAAATTGCAAATTCATTGTAACAGTAAATGTAATTTGAATGAACTCTTCTTTTAAACGTAAAAATTCTAAGACTAGTCCAAAAATCAACCAAGATGATCTTAACTAAAATAGTGACATAAGAAAAAATAAAAGAAGGCAGAGATAACTTATCAGACCAATTCAAACAAAAAGAAACCCAGCATGATCATATTATCATCAAACAAAATGGAGATCAGAGTAAGAAAGCCCCAAGTGGAATAAAAAAGGGTCATTTTATGAATCACAGAGATCATTCACAGAATAGGATTTTATCAAACTATAGTGAAAACATTAGAAACCCTAGGAGAAGGTGGGGGAAGTGTGTTATATGTTACCACAGTGTAACAAACCACTGTCTACCACAGATCCGAGTGCCAGAAAATAAATGTGGTCTAGGGATCTGAATAAAATAATAAAGTCAATTTAATAGCAATATTTGTGACTTTGTATGTACAGCGATAATACTTTCTTATTTAGATCCTGTGGAATATTTACAAGAAATTGATTAAATGTCACTAATGAAGAAAATTCAAATAAATTGCCCAAAGTGCTTACATTTTCCAGGCCAATAAAATAAAGCCAGACATTAATAAGAAGTGGTTGTCAAAATTGGAATTCTTTTTAAAAAGACATCTTGCTAAATATCTGTATTTTAAAAGGAAACAAAAACTATAGATTTTTTTACATCTTAGCGACAATGATCATCTGTAATCAAATTTTTGAATGCCTCTAAAACTGAATTCCAAGGGAGAACAATAGACTAAATGCTTTTGTTAGATAAGAGTGAAAATAATGGACTACTCAGGTCCAGAAGTTTGAGAAACAAAGCAATAAGCGTATGAGAAATAGAAAATAAACTAGTAAGGATAAAAGCAGAAAGTAAAGAATTGGAAATGGGAACATGGAGGACTTTAAAATAGTCTCAGTGATCTTTGAAAATGCCAGTAAAATGCCCTTGTTGCTCTTCCCTTTGCCAGCTCTTCTCTTTTACTGAGCCTTTAATGTTGGCATTTCTGCAATAGGGGTTTTGGTGTCTGGGCTCCTCCCTCCCTCTTCCCCTGTTCTTTCCTGAGCACTGCCATCTGTGCTTCTGGTGTTTGCTCTGTTGACTTCCAGTGTCTCCATCCTGGTTTGTCCTGGTGACATTTTTATGTGGCTATCTTGAAGGCACCTCAAATCCAACATGTATAAAATACTACTAATCGTCTTCCTTCCCCAGAGTGTTCCTCGTCCATAAGTCTTCCCTTTCACAGGACCTGGACTCACTCTTTTGTTTACTTGAGCAAATGAGAAATGTATGAATGACCCCCTGGCTTCCCCGTGTCTGGTGAATCCCCAGTCCCTACGTCACTCTCTGAAGGTCTGTGGAATCTCTTCTTGCTTCCACGTCACCTTCGTACAGAGCTTCCTGGTCTTTTTTGTGCTGTCCCTTTTGCAGTCTCATGAAATATGAATGTTTTTAAACATGAGATTTCAGAGGAAGTCACTTATGTTGAAATATAAATTAAAAATACTAAAAAGGTAAATTTCTAATTTAGTTATACGTGCGTAATTTCCTCTTATTTGCAGTTTCCCATTCTGTGGTTTCATTTACCTGTGCTACAGTACAATAAGGTATTTTGAGAGAGAGCGAGACAAAGTTTATATAACTTTTATTATAGTATTCTGTTGTAGTTGTTCTATTTTATTACTGTTAATCTTTTATCATAAATATATATGTATAGGAAAAAACAGTATATATAGTGTTTAGTACTATCCATGATTTTAGGTATCCAGCAGATAATGGGGAACTTTTGTACTTTATGAACATATTAATAGTATGAACTAGTGACAGGTCTAATTACTTTTAAAGTGGTGATGAGGATAAAAGATATTTTGAGATTACAGCAAAAGGTGCAGTACAACATGAAAAATATCTTTGGTTTTTCTTGTAACAAAGTCATAGGTACACATTCATAATATGTTAAATTTCAGCCAGGGGTTAATGAAAATGAAGATAAATTTTTTCCCTATGAATCCAGAAGTCCTGACTCTTTTTATTTGAACATCACTAATTAAACATCCCCTGTGTTGTCAATTGCTAGTTATCTTTGACATTTCATTCCAAAGGTGATTCCTTAGGGAGTTACTCTCTGATACCTGGACTAGATCACGCTTCCCTTATGCTCTTCAAGCGTCCCACACATTCCCTCATAAGGCCACAGTTGCTAATGGTACATTTATGCAATGGTTGTCTGCCTCTTTTCCCAAGAACACTTAAAGCTCTATGAAGACGGGTGGTATCTGCTAGTTACCATTTTATTACTGGCACATAGTAGATGCTCAGTAAATAAACATTAGGAAAACTGTCAAAGTTATTTGTTGCATTAGTAATTTGGAAAAGAGCTGGGTACATTTGAGAGACTTAATGAAGACCATAGGGATATATACTTATAAAGTAGATGTAGCTGCAGTAGAGACAGAAGGTATGTCACAGTAGTCAAAGAACAAAGACTTAGGAAAAATAAGGAAATTGGAGAAGGGACCAGTGTTGGCGAAGGAAAGAGAGAGGGTATTCATGGACGGGTTTGCTGCTCACCCTGTTGCTTCTCTCTCACCGGATCTGTCACTGCCGTTTTGCTCAGACTTTTAGTCCGGCCTGATAGGTAGTGTGGTCTTTGTTAACTAGATATTATGGAGGTAAAGCTGAATATTTTTGATTGTTAAATATAACACTAAGATATGAGTATATGGTAGATCTTTAATGTTTTACAATATGTGTGTTTGTGTCAGAATGTCACAGGTAGACTGATGGTTGGCCTACGTTGGTGGAATCATATTGATGAAGATGGTAAGAGCCACTGGGTGTTTGAGTCCAGGAAGGTAAGCTGTCGTCTTTTTTTTTTTTGGTAGTAGTGTGATTTGATAACTTATTTGTAGGTTACATTTGAATATGTAAGGAGGAAGTATTCAAGATTAATAAACCCTACCCCAAATCACTTGGCATGTCAGCACTAAACCAGGTAGCCTTTTAAAACTCTGTACATTTTTCTGTCAAGTTCAGACCAGAAGACATGTATAGGACAGAATCCTCAGAGGACACTGGGTCAGAATTTATACAGTATACTAAATTGCTTATTAGGGATTACTGATACAACATCTCTTTCTGATAGCCCCAGCTTTGTTGCCTTGCCAGATGTCTGTGTGGACCCCTGTGTGTCCAGCACCTAACTACTTCTGATATTTGTTCCATGGTCATCTTCCACTTTGGAGCAGGAAAAAGGAGAGGGATTGCGCCTGTTTAGAAAATCTGAATTGATAAGATCAGTCTGTTCTTCAAGCCTGCGCCTTTTGAGAGAGAGTAGGGGGGACCCTGGGGTAGGGGGAACCCTTGTCTGTTTCCAGTTAGCCAGCTACTCAGTAGTGAATATTCAGTTTGCCTGTGGAAATCAGTTTGTGAGGCAGTGGACAAAATTCTTAGAGACAGTACCAGTGAAAGTGCTTGCCTTCTGCTTGGAAAGACCTTGATAAGTAATACTTCTTAGAAAACAGTATTATGCTCAGTGAGCCTGTATTTCTCTATATTATAAAATCTACTTTGGAAACAATTTGCCATCTTGTAAATTGCTGGATATTTCTGAATCCTCTGATTCCATTTCTTTCTCTGGACTCTGACTTGACCTTGCAGTGTCTAGGATGACTATAACTTGATTTCCTTGATCCTCATTCCAAAAGGTACTATTCAAAGTACACATGGAAGCAGAATTGGGTAGAAGCCTGTCAGAGACCACTCTTTACTGTCTTAGGTCGTGATAAACTACCCATTCTGCCCTAAAAATGAAAAATTCTTGAGTTAAAGTATACTAAAAGCATTTCCTAAGATTACAACAGTGGTAGAGGCCTTAACTGATCTTTTATGTTATAACTTAGGACTTGGGTTGTCTGTATTAATATTTGAATTTGAGGATAATTTGTTTTTTATTACAGATGTTAAACTTTGTACTGATAAATCTCACAGCAGTGATGATTGATGTCTGTTCTTTTGTAGGAGTCTTCTCAAGAGAATAAAACTGCTTCAGAGGCTGAATCAAGAATCTTTTGGTTAGGACTTATTGCCTGTCCGGTGCTGTGGGTGATATTTGCCTTCAGTGCCCTCTTCTCCTTCAGAGTAAAGTGGTTGGTGAGTGTCATTGCAGAACTTTTTAATAATCCACTCAGGCGCCTGATGGTAATCATAATAAGCAACTCCCTGTGCTCTTCCCATTAGGGACTTATCTTGAATAGGCAGCTTCATCAAGTATTTCCTGGGTTCTGTTTCCCAACTCTGCTTTTCTCCAACCACCAGAGAGTGGATCCTGTGTAAGACCCTGTTTCACCAATGTGTGATTAATAGAGTGGTTGGTCACCTGTTTTGGTACCTACTGCTGCATCTCATTACCCCAAAACTCAGTGGCTTAGAGCAGCAGTCATTGTATTATTTCACAGTTTCTGTGGGTCAGGATTTTGGGAAGGGCTCTGCTGGGAGATTCAGGCTTACGGTCTTGAGCAGTAGTAATCAGACAGTGGTTGGAGGCTGTGAGACATCTCTCTCCTCTTTATGAGGTCCCATGGCCTCTCCACGTGTCTCTCCATGTGGCTTAGTTTGGGCTTCCACACAGTGGTGGCCTCCTGACAGCAGGAAATGCTTACACAGAGGCTCAGGATAAGCCTGAGCCACCTGGGGTGTTCCAGCTTGAAAGCGGAATTGTTTTTAGCCTGACCTAGGAAGTCACAAGTCACTTTTGCATTCAAGGTCACTTGTCACATTGAAGGTAATGGAAATTAGGCTTCACCTCTTGATGGGGGGAGTAAGGAAATACTTGAACAGTTCTAGAAGAGTGGGTAGAATAGGAAATACTTGTGTAGCCTTCTTTAGAAATACAGTCTGTCACCTGAGCCAAACTGTGAGTCCTTTTCTTATAACAGTCGAGTTTATCATACTAAACATTTATTGATGTGAGATGTATTTGATATATTTGACCTTAGTTGTGTTTTTGCCTCCACTTTTTAGTATGTCTTTGTACCTATTCTGCTATAGGAGTTCTCTTTTTCTTTGCGTGTTCTGTATTCATATTTGCTTTCTTAGATTTGGAAGCTTTATTGTCTATTTTCGGTTTTAGTAGTTAATCTTTATTAGTTTATATGTTTATGTCATAACCCACTGTCTTAAGGAAATTTATTCAGTATGTATGGATTTCCTGCTATGAAAGATGGTGAAGTTACCACTCAGTGTTTTCTTTCACTTCTGCCTGCCCCTCTCCCTGGATTTTTGTTTGATTATAGTCTTATTTCAGTTGTTGTAGTGGTTTTCTCTGTAACATTCAATCTGCTAATTAACTTAATAGGTTTTATTGATATTTAGAAAGGGAAGAAAATAACTCATATTTCTCCATATTTTTCTTTCTTTTTTGCTTGTTCTAGTGTTATTTTTGTTGTTAAGTTTATCTTTTGAAACTGTATGTATTACTGGTTGCTCAGAATTCTGATGTGTTTTTTAAATATATTGACCTACCACCAGTCCTTATTGCAGCTTCTCTTTTTACTTTTTAGTTGTAGCCATTTACATTTCATTGTTGGGTGATGTCTTCCAAAAGAACATTAGGTATTTTTTTCCTTTGACTCTTTTGTGTTTAAGAATATGAGCCTAGGGTGGCACCTGTGGCTCAAGGAGGGGGTGCACTAGCCCCATATACCAGGGGTGCCAGGTTCAGACCTGGCCCCAGCCAAAAAGTGCAAAAAAAAAAAAAAAAAAAAAATGAGTCTATTGACTATTTGTAAATTGGCTTGGCTGGGTAATTTTCTTACATTGAATACTTTGGAGAAATCTGAGGCCGGGCTTACTTAAGTAAGGAAGTAAGTAGGGAAGTCATTTCCCTCCATGTAAGTAAGGAAGTCATTTCCCTCCCTGAATAATTTTTTTTTTTAAATTCTTGAAATTTAAGATACATTATACTGGGATGTGTCTGTCTTTATCTTTATATATTGAGTGTGCCCTTCTGACATGTAGTCTCACAGTTTTGTTTGAATCAAGATAATTTTCTGTTAAATCTTTATTATTATTATTTTTTTGAGACAAAGTCTCACTATTTCGCCCTAGGTAGAAAACCATGGCGTCACAGCTCACAGCAACCTCAGACTCTTTGGCTTAAGTGATTCTCTAGCCTCAGCCTCCCAAGTAGCTGGGACTACAGGTGTCTGCCACAATGCCCTCCTATATTTTGGTTGTAGTTGTCACTGTTGTTTGGCAGGCCCAGGCTGGATTTGAAGCCACCAGCTCTGGTGTATGTGGCTGGTGCCCTAGCTGCTGAGCTATAGGCACTGAGCCAGTTAAATCTTTAAATTAATGTATGTTCTGTTTTTTATTTCTCCGAGGTTTGACTTACATCTATGCTGGATCATTTTTGTCTGTTCGCACCTATTTTCTCATTGTTTTTAGCTCCTGATTGTCTTCTGGTTCCCCCTCCTGCTTCAGATGAGACCCTGGAGCCTTAGTGTCCTTTTAGGAGGGTCAGCCCACTGATCTCTACTATTATTTCCACTTCCCTGAAACAGATCAGGGAGTGCTCCTGGGAAAGGCCCTGTGTTAGGACCATAGGAGAGAGGGGGCTTCACTAGGTTCTCCAAGTGTCTCGTACTCCCTCCCAAGATGGTCAGTTCTCGTGACTAGTCATCCTATGTGCTTCTTGTCCTGCCACCTTCTCATCTGGAGGAACAGCCATGGCCAGGTGCAGGGGTTTTCTTGCCTTTTTGAGTCATTGTTAATTGGGAGGAGCTTCTGCCTTCATGGCTGTCTCTGCATTTATTTTTTCTTAGGGCTGTCTGTATCCCTTTGCCTTCGGCTTCTCTGGAATTGTTTGGGGTGGTAATTTAGGGTGAAATTTCCTTTAGAGTTTCTTTGGAGAGTTAGGAGCTGTGTGGAGCTGTACCAAGCTGGCTTTTTCTCTACTAGCCCTGTTTTTGTGTTTATATGTATGCGTTTATTTGCTGGTTTTTTTTTTTTTTTTTTGAGACAGAGCCTCAAGCTGTCTCCCCGGGTAGAGTGCTGTGGCATCACAGCTCACAGCAACCTCCCAACTCCTGGGCTCAAGTGAGTCTCCTGCCTCAGCCTCCCAAGTGGCTGGGACCACAGGCACCCACCACAATGGCCGGCTATTTTTTTTTTGGTTGCAGTTGTCATTGTTGTTTTGGCAAGCTGGGGCTGGATTCAAACCTGCCACCTTAGGTGTATGTGGCTGGTGCCTTAGACACTCGAGCCACAGGCGCTGAGCCTTATTTGCTGTTTTTTTTAAAAACAAAAATCTGTTTGCTATCGGTATCTTAAGGGGAGAGAGGTCATCATATCTAACTTCACTGTACCATCTTAAACTAGAAGTCTGCTCGTGTTAACTTACGTTGAACAAAATTAATACCTCAGCAAGACCCATGTTTAGTCTGTGAATTCAGGTGCCCCCTGGCATGTTAGTGCATACATACCCAAGAGCGCCCGGATTGAGATGCATATGAGATTTATATAAATAAAAATATCAGTTTTATGTTTATTTAGGTGACCAGCAGCCTGTAAAATACTGGCTCCACTTCTTTTGCTGAGAATTTCAGTCTTGTCTTTAATTAAGCATTTGAGTTCTTTGACTTGCTTAATATTAACTGTACAGCTTGTTAAGGGTTGTTAAGGAGCACAAGTTTGGGTTGGAAAAAGACAGCCATTTACCTTGTTACGGATGTAAAAGAGTAGGTAGGATTGATGAGCTGTTTATTCTAGCTCAGGGGTTGGCAAAATGGCTTGCAGGCCAATTATGGCCCAATGCCTGTTTTTGTAAATTTTTATTGGAACATAACCGTGCCCATTTATTTGTATATTATCTTTTTTTTTTTTTTTCTACAGTTTTTGGCCAGGGCTGGGTTTGAACCCGCCACCTCCAGCATATGGGGCTGGCACCCTACCCTTTTGAGTCACAGGCGCCATCCTATTTGTATATTATCTAGGCTGCTTTTGGACTAGAAGGGCAGCTTGTGTTGTGGCCCAGAAAGGAGCCACAACATGGAGGACTGAGTAACCGGGTGGGGAAGAAATCTACACATGGATAATGGCACATGGGGGTTTTGAAGGTCAGGAGGGTTGGGGGGTTGGCCCATTTACCTTTCTCAGGTGGGAGATCCTGTGGGAGAGGGTAGGGGGTTGATTCTTTTGGGCGGGTAGACCCTATTTGGGTGGGGTTTGACTCTACAATTCCAGTCTTTTTTGTCCATTATAGGAAGGTGAGATCTTATTGACTACTTCCTGGGGAAGAGGGACTGCCTAGGCTGCCTGTAAAGAGAATGGGAGGGAGAGGGGAATTGGGTAAGGGAGTGGAGTTCACAGGAACTCTCTTTGGCATTTTCACTCTGAGCTCTTTGGTATCCAGTAAGGTGAAGATATGAGGAGTTGTTTTTAGGTGACTGTTTGGTTAATAAATCGAGACATTAAGGGTTACTGGTTTGAAACTGAGAATGAGAAATCATAATTACTTTATTAGACAATAACTGAAGAGGAAGATGGACAGTGAGAGGTGGGAATCAGTTGGAGTTGCCAAGGCCGCCAGCATTCCTGAGATGACATCTAATACTCATTAGCAAGATCTCTACCCACTTTTAGAGGATTTTTACATGGTGGCAGTGTGCATGAAGTGGCTCCTGTGTTTGTTAGAAAAGAGAAAACATTGATTTACCTTCTATAAGCAAAAGTACCTAGAGTTCAGTTTCCCAGGACAGTGTCCTGGAGGCATTCTGATTTTCTGGGGGTCGTAGGTCTCTTGCAGCTAGCTTCAGGAGGAACTTCAGCCACGTTCTGAGAGTCTTTGCACCAGATCTTCAGAAACACCAGGGTAGCCAGACCTCTGGACTGGGCATGGTTTGGGGGGTGGTTGGATTTGGGGCACTGCTTTGCCCAGAAGCCTGGTTTGCTGCACTTAAAGCACGATCCTGAGGAAGATTTTGTTTTTTTCCGGAATGCCTCACAGAATAGCTGGGTTTTGCTTAATGGTGGAAGCCAATATGGTGCTGCCACACTTGAAGGCCAGATCATTGCGATCTCCCTGGGAGGTTTGAGGGCCCTGCGGGAAATTCTGCCAGTGTTTTTTTCTTCTACCAAAGGAGGCAGAGGGTGAGTGGGGGGCAGTGTGGGTAGGGTGGGGTATTGTTAAGGAAAGGATATGGTCATGGGCGGTTGGAGGGCAATGAGAATGGGTGACTGATGGGAGGCCATAGAGGAAGAGAGGTATCCCACACAGAGAAACTTCTGGGTGTTCTGATAGAGAGAATGGAAGGATTGTAGGAAAGGGGTTGGAGCAGGGGCTGTGGAAGGGTATCAGGAGAAGCTGGTGTTACACCAGTAGGATAGGGGGTTGGTTCTTTTAGGCGGGTCTACCGTATTTGGGAGGAGTTTGACTCTATCAAGAGGGGAAAACTGGGCCAGGAAATTAACGTGCAGAATTTCTGTGAAAGAGTGTGCTGAGACCAGGGAGAGACAGACCCGTATCCTGTAGGGAAGCAGATAGGTGCCATGCTGAACCGAATTCTCAAGAGATTTTAAGATTTTAGGTTGTGTGAAATTTCTGTGAAAGAGTGTGCTGAGACCAGGGAGAGACAGACCTGTAGCCTGTAGGGAAGCAGATAGGTGCCATGTTGAACCGAATTCTCAAGAGATTTTAAGATTTTAGGTTGTGTGAAATTTCTGTGAAAGAGTGTGCTGAGACCAGGGAGAGACAGACCCGTAGCCTGTAGGGAAGCAGATAGGTGCCATGCTGAACCGAATTCTCAAGAGATTTTAAGATTTTAGGTTGTGTGTTTCTGGAACAAAGTAGTAAAGAGTTAATGGTCTCATTACTTAATCATGTACATGGTCTTTTGATTATGAAAAGGGTCTTCAGGCTGGAGGCACAGCACTCTGGGGGGCAGAGGCTGGTGGATTGCTTTAGCTCAGGAGTTTGAGACCAGCCTGAGCAAGAGTGTGCACCTGTAGTCCCAACTACTCGGGAGGCTGAGGCAAGAGAATAGCTTGAGCCCAGGAGTTTGAGGTTGCTGCGAGCTATGAAGCAAAGGAGGGCCTCAAAGTAAGATTCTGTCTTAAAAACAAACAAACAAAAACAGAACAATTCTCAAGGGCAGAACTAAGTAGGTAACAAAGTTGCCTTAGGGGATAGGTGAGGACAGGTAAAGTTACAGCCTACAGGCTAGATTGTTTCTGCTCAAAGGTAAGTTTTGATTCTATTTAAACTGTGCTGATATCCTGTCTTTGCTTAACTGCTGAATTTTAGTCGATGTCCCCAAACTAGTTTAATGTCTGTGCAGGTGAGCATTCCACCCATCCTTGTGCTGAGTAGGGGGCTGAGGCCCAGGCTGTTCCTGAGGGAGGCCTTTGGAATGTCCCCCTGCATTATGTTTCCACTACAAGTTTAGTAGTTTCAGCAGAGACATATGGCCTGCAAAGCCTAAAATAATGGTATGGCCCTTTAAAGAAAAACTTTGCTGATCCCTGTTCTTGAATATTTCACCTTTGGATTGGTTCACATTGTCCTAATTAATTTTCCTTCCATAATATTTAAAGAATAGGCTTGAATTCTTATTCTTATTCTCAGTCTCAGTGGTCTTAGAGGGGTCACCTGTAGAATTGCTGATGAGGTCACAGGAATAAATGGTTCTACAGTTTCTCCTGGAGCTCTCTGTCCCCATAGGAGGCAAACACTTATTAATTTTTGCCTTAGAGCACTGTGTCCCCTTTCCCAGAAGCCAGTTGTCACACATACAGAACATAAAGGAGAGATCCATCGGTTTATTTGACGTGATCTGCGTCTTGACCATTCTGTGTAATTCTCAAAGGAATAAATAAGATTTGACCCTTTCCAGAGTCTCATTTACCTTGTCACTTTACCCACAGGCCCATGGGAAACAGGAGAGACAGAAAAGGCTCCCCCTGTACTACGTGGCCAGTCGCTGGCCTGTCCTGGCACTTAGAGCATTCGTGTTGGTCAGATAGGTCTGTCCTGGCACTTAGAACACTCATGTGGGTCAGATAGGTCTGTCCTGGCACCTAGAGCATTCGTGTTGGTCAGATAGGCCTGTCCTGGCACTAAGAGCATGCGTGTTGGTCAGATAGGTCTGTCCTGGCACTTAGAGCATTTGTGTTGGTCAGATAGGTCTGTCCTGGCACTTAGAGCATGCGTGTTGGTCAGATAGGTCTGTCCTGGCACTTAGAGCATTTGTGTTGGTCAGATAGGTCTGTCCTGGCACTCAGAGCACTCAATGTGGGTCAGATAGGTCTGTCTTAGTACGTGGGAGTCTCAGTGGCACAGCTGCTTTGCAGAGCTTCCTTTTTCCTTCTCCTTCTGTGACAGTCTGTCTTGTCTCATTTATGGCATAGAGAGAGGTCAATTTTCAACCAGTAACTATGGGTTGTTTCTCCCTGTCTCAGGCGGTGGTTCTCATGGGTGTGGTGCTACAAGGTGCCAACCTGTATGGATACATCAGGTGCAAAGTGGGCAGCAGGAAGAACTTCACCAACATGGCCACCTCGTATCTAGGAAAGCAGTTTTTAAGACAAGTAAGTGTTATCTGGATGTGTAATCAGTGGCCAGTGCAGTGATTTCTAAATTTTGTAGAGTTTAATTTTTATGAAATGCTACTTCTTTGGGGGGGGGGGAGGAGTACAGAGTCCTCACTCTACCATCCTGGCTAGAATGCTGTGGCATCATAGCTCGCAGCAACCTCAAACTGTTGGGCTCAAGTGATCATCCCACCTCAGCCTTCTGAACAGCTGGGACTGCAGACACCTGCCACAATGCCTGGCTAGTTTTTCCATTTTTAGTAGAGATAGGGTCCCACTCTTGTTTGGGCTGGTCTTGAACTCCTGAGATCAAGCAATCCACTGCTTTGGCTTCTCAGAGTGCTAGGATTATAGGCATAAGCTACCATGCCTAGCCATGAAATGCTTCCTAAAAGGTTTTTTAAAGACCCATAGTTATTTAAATATGAGATAATGATAAAGATATTTTAATTGCTCTCCAGAAGCTGTTAGAACATTCTAGAAGTGTATTGTCAATGTCTTCAAATTACTTTAAAATCAGGAGGGATAAACTATCATTGATAATAACGTGTATTTTAAAAATTACTTTTTTAGGTGCTTTCCATTAATTATGGTAGCTTTAAATGAATGTTCTTGAAGAATGTATGTTGTATGGTTTTAGGGCTTATAGCAAGAACAGGTTGAAACATAATAAGACCATATCATTAAGGATTGTTTTAAAATACTCATGTTTCTTTCCCCCAGAACATAAATGTTTTTACTATAATTCTTTAATATCAGGGTTTTCAGTGGGATTAGTAGTCATAGGTAAATAGTTATGGGTTAAATCTCTGGGGAACATTGAGTAAGTGTTTATGTGAGTAATACCTTGCATTTCTTAGTTTACTGTACTAGGTTGGGCAAGTAGTGTTACAGGACAGGGTTCCCAAATGTGCATCAGAATCACATGGGAGGTTGCTGGGCTCCACCCCCAGCGGTATTCAGTAGATTGGGGGTTGGAGTCTCATCAGGTCCATTTCCAACAAGTTTCTGGGTGCTACTGATGGTGCTGCTTCCTGGATTACACATCAGATAACTAAAGCACGACAAGATTTTAGGTGACTTACTCAAAAATATACAGTTAATAAGTGGTACAGAGCTGGAGCTTGAACCTAGCTCTCCATACTCAAAATCCAATGTTCTTCCCATTTTATTGTACAGTTTCTTTTATAGAAGATAAGTAGAGAAAACAAGCAATTCTCACAGGACATGGTTCTTAGTCTGAAGCTTTTTTGCATGGCCCCAATATACCTTTTCTGTTGGGCCCCCATAGGGTAATTTTCATGTGTGTGTTATTAGGTTTTTTCCTTTAGGATTTTTATATTTCTGAAGATGGGGACATTGAATACAGTGAAATTGAACCTTGAGCCTGGTATAACACGCTTAGTGTCTTGCATGGCATCTGGTGATCGTCTGCTCAAATGGGATGAGCGGGACGTGTGGTGGATGACGGGTATCCATGGTTTACTTCTTTACCTGGAGCACAGACAGAATGTAGTAGCTGGCTCTGCTTAGAAATGGGGAATGTTTTCCAAGGCCTAGTGCTTTAAAGCCCAAGGTGTATGAAATAACTTGAATATTAAGGATATTTTTGTCTCTTTTGCAGAACACTGGAGATGATCAGAGTCCCTGAAGAGTGAAAGCTTATAAATTTTCTTACATTGGGGAACAACCGAAGAGATTCTTGACTTTGAACCTCTTAGAACTCAGTCCATGTTGCAACCAGGAATGTGGGGTTTGCTTTTCACTTGACTGTTTTATTTTAAAAAAGGAAAAGTAATTTTCATATTGTTTTCATTTTCTTTGTGGGAGCCAGGGCTAGAAAGTGTGTTGTCACTAGAAACATTGTCAGTTAGTTTTGTGTTGTGCGTCTGTGTTTGGTCATGTGGTATCAGTGACCCCAAATAAGTGAGAGTGTTGTTGTTCCTTCATATACCTGACAGAGATCATAGACCATAAGAGGATAGTCTTAGTTTATCTCTAAGCTTTGTTGTGTGTTTACATATTATTTGTATAAATTATTTTCAGAAGTAAGTTTTGCTTCCATGGTAATAATGAGCATTTTGGCTTATGTTAGAAATGATTGTTAAAATATGTACTTTCATAATAACATTTCTTAGATACACACAAGCAAGTAAAAAGCCAGTGGTGTTACCTAGTTTCTAAAATGTTGTTTATGTTTAGTAATAATAAGTCATTTACTTAAGGCTCAGTTAATATAAATGGAATCTTCATAGTATTTGTCTAAGGGATACCCAGAGACTGCAGCTGTTCAGTTTATTTTACAGAAAGGATAGCCAGATTTCACTTTGGAACTTCCTGGAAGGTCTGCAGTAGTCCATGGGCTAATAAAATCTTTTACCACTAAAAGAACATTATTCTTATGTCATAGTAAGAATAATCATAATATTTGGCATAATAAATGCCTGAAAGATAGTTTATTTTATGAATCTTTTTTTCTTCCTACAATAGGGGTATTGTAAATCATACTTTTATATTAATGGTATTTCTTAAAGCAATATATATTTAACTGTAAACTAAACCAATCTACAAATAACTGTAGGCATCTGTAAATTCTGTTCTGTGATGTACTGTAAACTTAGAGTCCTTTAATCAGATTACATTGTGAATTTATTTGTACATTGTTAAAATATTTTTTAAGATATTTAATTGAGTAAGTGTCTCTGTTGGAGTGATAGCTTTGAAGGTGCAAAACTTTATATTTGAATAAAATTCTACCATTTACAAGGCATTTGGCATATGTGACCTCATGACAAATGTGTGGTACCTCAGCTGATAAAATTGAAGCTCAGGTTACTGAGTTATTTTCCCAGGGAAACACATATCTATAGGATACAAATATTAACTATTTACAGAGGAAATATACGTCTCTCATTGTCTTTTCGTTTCTTAAGAATAATTTAGTGATCCTTTGCTGTTTTACTTGCATTCAGCTGTTCTGTCAGGTGAGGAAAAATTGATACTGCACTAAAGATATGTTTTTATTTAATTTGAAAGTTCTAACCTAAATCTTTAGGATTGAGAGTCTGTCAGGAGACACATTGGTGTAGATCTTGAGGTAACTGTCATTTGAGCCTGCAACCCTAAACTGGTTGAGTTTGGAACCTGCACGTGGCAGGAGGTGCCTCGTATCCCCCAATATCTATTTCTCTCCTGTGGGCTTCTCAGTGAATTAGCCGGGGCATGCTGGTGTTCTCTGGACCACTGAACAACACCTGAGAGCACTTGCAGTGTTTCTTGACTTACCAACTTTATGTTTCAACTAGTGACTTCTACAAAAAGTAAAGATTTAATTCACACCCTTCCCCCACATAGGCTTTTAGCAGTGTTTTTTTTTCAGTTGGTTGGAATAGTAAACATTGTATGTAAATCTCTATGTTTTAGTCCTTATCAGTTACTTTTTGTTTACCTGTTGATTTCCTCTGTTAGGAAGTAGTTCTCTTGCTGCAAATAACAGAAAACCCTACAAGGAATAATGGCCAAAATGAAAAAAGGATTTGTGCTTTTCCCCCACAAAAGACGTTTGGGACTAGACAATTCCTGATATCAGTGTGGCTACTTGCCAGTTCCATCAGGAACGCTGATGCTCTTCTATCCTTAGCTGGTCTCTGTCCCCATGCTACTCTGATGGGCGCAAGATGACTGTCACAGAAAAGATGACACATGGAAGCTTCAGTTGTATGTTCAGAAAAAGCTTTCTCAGAAGCCACAGGAGACTTGCTTCTGCTTTCTTCTCATTGGCTAGTGCTGTCACCCAGATGTAAGGCAGTTGGGGAAAACAGGTATTTAGGTAGACACAATGCTGCCTTAAATAGTGAGATTTTGTTAGTAGGGAAAAAGGGGGAAGGGATGTTGGGTGACAGCTAGTGGTGTCTGGCACATCCTTCTCATGTGGGTCTTGTGGGATGATGTTGGCGCTGCAGGGGCTAAAGCCCTGGTGTCTTTTCTACAGTAAATGAACAGCATTCTTTCAGGTCAGCATCTTTTTTTGGCCAACTTTTGATGTAAATCCATTAAAGTGCTACTTAATAAAATAGCTCTGTGAGGGTGTAGGCTGCTGTACTCTTCTCTGTTTAACGTAATTCAGGTCTGGATTTAGACTGTCCAGAGCCGTGGTTCTCATGGGGAAGGAGCCGCCCCTACAGTGGGTGTTTTGTGATTAGGGGTCAGCTTGGTTAATGCATGAATGATGAGAACTGCTGATACTGTTGCAGGTGGGGACTAGGGATGCTGGGTGCCCGTGTAGGACACCTATGCACAAAGAATTGTCTTGTATCATAACTTCTTTGAACCCCACCCACTGGAAAAATGTCTGGACACCCTGTTTATCATGAGAATGGAAGGGCAACCCCAGCCGCTGTCTACTGGAAGCTGGCTTGGACTAAACACGAGGCGATGATGTTTTCCTGGTGAGCATACACAACTTCATAGAACACCGACATCCAGCCAGGCCATGGTGACTGTGATGGAGCAAGACAGAAATTAGGACACCTGCAGTCATGTCGGGGCATAGACACAGAGAGCACACAAACTACAAAGAACAACCAGAGAAGTTTGTTTCCTGGCTCATGTGAATGAGTGCTGCTGCTTTTGAGTTACAAGTTGAGACCGTTCTGTTCCTCCTGCCCCCTGGATTGCATTTTTTTGGATATCTGCTCATAGAATTGCCCTCATTTTCTGAAAGCACCCAATCCAGAGTAAAACTGTGATTCAAAGAACCCTTCTTGCAGTCACCTAACAAGCCCAAATCCTAGAAGAAGCCCTTCTTGGTCCCCCTACACTGGGCACTCCATGGTGTGTGGTCTCCCATGTGCAAAGAAGTCCTGATAAACCTAGCTTGGTTCAAGCACAGGTCTGTTCCTCAAGATGTCTAGTTGGTGGACACTGGCAACAACTATTGGAGCCTGCACTAAAACTCCATCTTATATATGAAAACCATTTCACATTTTTGTTGCAGATCTGCAATACCCAGAAATGCACCTGCCAGACGAGTGCGAGGAGGTTGTGTAAATGCACCCGCCCGACGAGTGCGAGGAGGTTGTGTAAATGCACCCGCC